GACAGGAGATGTGCTAATTCTAAGCCTGTAAATCCCACTTTTATTTTTAGAAAACTCTGCAGTGTAACCACAAGCAGCCACAGGCAATATGTTAAATAAAAAGGATTAAATGGTAAATGAGAAATTCATTCAGAAAAATCTGAGAGTCTTGGCCCTGCTTTATACATCATGAGATTTCTGACTAGCATCTTAGCAACTGCTAATCAAATGTTATAGTAGAAGAGATTCCTGACCACCCCAATTTGTATGTTCTTTAAAGCTTTATATTTCTTTGCTTATACCACAGAACTATCCAACGTACCAGGTACTCAAAAAATATAGCAAACCATGGTATGACTGGGATATATAGATTTTTCAGGTGCATTCCAACCACGTTCTTACATTGCTTGTCTTTGGTTTTACAAATTAATGCCCTTTAAGTTAAACTTAAAATGCCCATGAACTTTGACTCTTATTTTTTGAAGTCTTGATCAACAAGAAATAGCAATTCTTGGTACTTAAAAAGAGAAAAGAGGGAGGCTGGCCTGGCGGCATAGTGGTTAAGTTCTCATGTCTGCTTTGGCGGCCCAGGGTTCATGGGTTCGGATCCCAGGCGCAGACGTACACACCACTCATCACACCACACTGTGGTGGCATCCCACATATAAAATACGGGAAGATTGGCTCAGGTGTTAGCTCAGCAACAATCTTCCTCAAGCAAAAAGAGGAAGATTGGCAACAGATGTTAACTCAGGGCCAATCTTCCTCACCAAAAAATAATAATAATAATAAAAAGAGAAAAGAAATGAGTGTCTGAAATATGAAGGAATTTAGAGCTAGCAAGAACACAGGGTTATCTTCTGCAGATTTTCTGTGGGCAGTATGTATTTGATATTATGTGTAATGCCCTTTGCCCTAGAATTCTAATCTTGGGTGATTTTCCTCAGGCAAAAGACAGCCTGTATAGCTTATTTCTCTTCATAAAAATGGAAATTTGAACTCATAGGTGAGTGCTTAGTATGCTTATGTTGTGAAGATGCAATATGTTATCCACAATGATGTGGAATCACCAAGAAATTGTATGGTTATATTTTAATACCAGGCATCTGATGTTTGTGTCAAGACTTTGTAGTGGAAGATTTAGCCTAATTCAAACAAATTTCAAGCATCTTAGAAACAGGGTCTTGTTTATTCTTAGAGATATTTAAAAATGCACTTTTACCAATTTGGGTGTCAAAATAAAACTTTACCTGTCTTAAAGCAGTATTTTCCAGCTGGTGGTGAAAGGTATTAGGAAAAAGAAAGAAAGAAAGAAACATCACAAAGCCTGTGATTAAAATGACACCTCTTTTTAATTTTACTTATAGATTTTTGTACTGAGGACTAATTTACAGGGCTCATTCTATTTGAAGATGATCTCTAATTTGCATATAACAACATTTACATCAAGGCTTCTTATCATATACTTTCAAAAATTCCATGAGTTGCTATATTTTTTGGATTCTCTGGTGTGTTGCATGGGAGTAGAGAAATATAATGCTTTAAGGATTGTAGCATTTAAGATGGGGTGGTCAGGTATCTTTTCATTAAATAATACCGAATAGTATCAGGCAGTTTTTGGTGAATACTTACTGAATGATGTGTAAAATGAGTACTTTAGGAGCTTAGAAAAGGGGACAGCTGGCCTAGAGTGGCCTCGGAAGGAGTCAGTAAAGAGAAAACAGTGGAACTGTTTTTGGAAGGGTTTGTTAGGATTTATTTAGGAGAGAGGTAATCTAGGTTAGGAGTCCCAGAAATGAGAGGGCCCAGGCATATTCAGGGAAGAGTTAAGTAGGTGATTTTGATTGGAGTGTTGGTTTCATGTTGGGGAGAATAAGATACGATTGGAAATAGATATTGATGCCAGATTGTTGCAGCTGATGAGATGAGTAGCCTTATTTTGATAGCAGCAGCAGTGTTTTAGGAAGATCACTCTGTTGATGGAGTATGGGAAGGACTGGAAGAGTAAGGGATGGGGGGCAGAAAACTAAATGAGAAAACTGCATGAATTGAGCTAAGTTGGTGCCTGTCAGAATGAACAGGAGAAGGGCTAAACCAACAGAGAGTTGAGAGTGGTTAATGGACTTGGGGACTAACTCCATTGTGGATACAAAGGATAAGGGGATGTATCAAAAGACGGTTCTGAAGTTTTAAATCTGGAGGTCAGTGAGAATAAGAAGGTACCTGATAAACAGAAAGAAGACAGAAGGAATTACTGATTTTTATGGGAAGATGATTTAGGTTTCAGAATGTAGGGTTGATTTTTATGAGTGAATTATGTGAATATGTCAAGCATGCAGTCACAGATCTGGGACTAGAGCTTGAGAGAGAAATCAGGAATAAACTACGTCATGGTAAAGGAAATAACATATGTGAAGGCTACTTTTTGACGTCAGGAACGTAAAGACAAAAAAGAAGTAAGATTCTAGGTAAAGGATGAGGACCAACGCAAGATTTTTGTTGAGAAGGTAGAAATAGTACATGTTTGTGGATAGAAAAGGAGAAGCCAGTGGATAGGAATAGACTAACAATGCTGAGAGGTAATGATTTAGGGAACTTTATTGATGTGGAGAAAAAGAAGAGTGCTCTTAAAATACTTGGGTTTTAAGGATGCTAGTTAGTTAGGCCCTTGTCAGTCAGTATTTTATTATACAAAGCCAGTCATTGAATTCTAGGACAATAAGTACCTCAAAAGAATTACTTGGTTTAGTGTATCTTCATACTTTGGTAGAAATTTATTTTTGTCATTTGATTGGTGTTAAAACTAACACTTGAGCGAAACCAGTGCGTTTGTAGATTATCTTTCTACGTTCTATCAATTTGAAATTCTATTCTGGTTTATTAGCCTTCTTTTGATCACAGATTCCTTCAAACTGTGTTAGCATGACTGCCAAATCTGCAAAATAATTGAGTCCCTCCGTTGAGTTGTTGCTAAAGTAGAGACCCAATTCAATATTTCCCCTAACTATTGGGCAGTTTAGGTGATGTATTAACAGAGATAGTGTTTGTCGTTATATTACTTCATCACCCTGCTGAATAACACTCTAGTGGCCTCGTAAATAAATAAAAAAACATTGACCAATCTGTTAACATGTTTTATACTTTCCCAGTAAAATCTTTATTGTGCAGAAGATGAAATAAATAAAGTCCATTTGCTGCCACTCAGCCATTCTCATTGGCATTTTTTATGCTCTTGGTGAGAGGAGAGTGTCATGTGCAAGAGCACAGTCTGCAGAGTCATAAACCTGGGCTGAAATCCTGGCTTGTTATTCTGTAATTAGAAGACCTTAGGCTAATTTCAATTTTATTAAAACTTTTTTTTTTAGAGCAGTTGAAGGTTGACAGCAAAATTAAGGGGAAGGTACAGAGATTTCCCATTAATCCCTACCCCTACACGTGCATATAGGTTAGCTTCTTAATACCACGAATTCTGTTTCTTCATCTCTAGGATGCAGATGGTAACTCCTCCTTCATGACGTTTTTAAATGTCCGCTATTTGATAAGTGCTCATAAGGGAGGCATAATTGACTTTAAAACTCACTTGAGCCATCATCATGTTCACAGGGTGCTTCATGTTTTTTGATGGTAGTGCTTAATGTGGTCCTCCAGTCTTTATTGAATGAATGAGTGCGCGAATGAATGCATGAATGCAGGAGTGAATAGTCCTGGGACCCTAAGTCTCTGAAAAGCTTTTACTTCAGTCATGGGTAGAATTGCTTGCCCGCATGTACTACACCACTTGGTTATCTTAAAATTTTACGTGTGGTAAGTGATTATAGAAATGAGTTGATAGACTCTATCCCCAGGTTAGATATTCTTTGGAACCATGATGATTTCTGTTCTAGATCCGCTATTTTCTTTCACAGCTGTGGGAACTTTTTAGTCTTTTAGACACTGGTCTTAGGAATAGTGGAACAGCTGATGCTAGTCCAGGCCCCACCCCCTGAGGCTCTAAAGTGGATTGATTTTATAAGCAGGACCCTCTGGCTTTAGCAATAAAAAAAAGCTGTTGCTTTTGTTGTTTTGAAGCACTAAATATGAGTAGTGGCCCTAGAAATTATTTGCAGGTCAGGACCACTTAGCCGACTCTGCCCTCCGATACCTCTTGTTGGCAGGTTTGTTAGAGAGCTTATCCACTGTGCTGTTAGAGTGGGGGATAAGGGCATGGACTGCAGATTCAGTCCACAGGCTTCGCTTTGCGGCTCCTGGACCTACTCCTGAGCCTCATTTCCTTATCTGTAATCTGACAACTAATTTACCTGATAAAATGTTGTGCTTTAAATGATATTACACATCTAAATGGATTAGCCCCTTGCCTGTAATAGCCCTTGCCCTCAGTAAATATTATGGCATTGTTGCTGATGCTGCTATAATTGGGAATAGTGAGGATTAAATTATGACTAAAGGAGAATATTGATTAACTCACTCAGCACGTTGCCTGGCATGTAGTAGGCCCTCAATAAAAATGTTCCCCTTACTCCTATGTTCAAATGCCTTCCACACTCCGTTCCAGTTTTAGGAGTAGGTAACAAATAGATGACTTTCTGGCTATAATGAATCTTTTTTCAGCTCTACAACTAGAAATTTGAATAGCTACGTTAATATACTTCTGAGTATCAAGAATTAAGTGTTAGAATTAGATTTTCTGTTTTTAAAATTGCTTTTCTTTCTTTCATTTTTTGTGAGGAAGATTGGCTCTGAGCTAACATCTGTTGCCAATCTTCCTCTTTTTCCTTGAGGAAGATTGTTGCTGAGCTAACATCTATACCAGTCTTCCTCTATCTTGTATGTGGGATGCCACCGCAGCATGGCTTGATGAGTGGTGTGCAGGTCTGTGCCCAGGATCCGAACCAGCGAACCCCAGGCTGCCGAAGTAGAGTGTGCGAACTTAACCACTATGCCACTGGGCCAGCTACATAAAATTACTTTTCGTAATAGCACATCACAAACGTGTGTATTAAACTGTTGATCTCATTGCACAGATGCTGTTGACTGAGTACTTGGATATGAAAAATACTCGTACGGCCTCTGAACCATCAGCTCAACTAAGTTATGCTAGCACTGGACGAGAGTTTGCAGCCTTTTTTGCCAAGAAGAAACCTCAAAGACCAAAAAATTCTCTTTTCAAGTAAGTGTCCCCCTCCTGGTAATATAGCAGGTGTCAAGAAGTGTTAGAGCCAAGTAAAGTGATTTTCTACTTTATTGACAGCCATTACTTCACCCAGTTAAAGTTGATTTGAAATCATTTATAGGAAGTGAATATATATTTAATTTTGTGGACTTTGTTTTCTTTAAGGGGAAGTGGCTGCTTTGGAGTATGGTTACTAGAGTATCTAGAACTTCTAATAAAAATAGCTGGAATTTGTTTCTGGGGAGTTTTATATAAAATGAAGAGAAATGAAACTCTCTAGTTGTTTCCGGGAATTTTATATGAAACGAAAGGAAATGAAATATTTCAACCCTTAAAAAAGCCCTAGGTGCCAAGAAACAGCCTTTGTTAATAAAATTATGCAAATCTCCCTAGCTGAGTAATATTGGATTTATTTGATTTAATACAGAAACAGTCTGGAAATTCTTATTTTCTAATTACTATCAGGTACCCCTACCAGGCCATGTATGTATTTTAAGTGTATGTCACTTGGTAACAGCTAACAGTTAATATTATTACTAATATTAATAACAACAACAACAATAACAGCTATCATTGATTGAGTTCTTACTATGTACTGGGCACTGTGGTAGATGAGTTTCTCAAAATAACCTCAATTAAACATAATTTAATTCAGATTATACCAAATTTTGGCAGCTGGAGTAATGGCTAACAGTCACGATGTCCTTACTAACTGTTAGCTGAGGAATTAAGCCATTTCCTGGATTATCTCATTTACTCATTACAACAACCTTATAGGCATGAGTTCTCTTTTTTAATCCTCTTTTACACATAAAAAAAATTGAGGCACAAGAGAGATTAGGTAATTTATGTACGTTCCCATCACTAACAAGTGGTAGAAGCAGGGTTTAATCTTGGCAGACCTTTGTGTTCTTTTGAGGAGTTAATAGGTACTTAAGAAGTTGTGTCTGTAAATCTAAGCCTATGAAGTGACTACAGAAGTATCATCCCAGTATTTTGAATTCATTCTTTTTGAATAGTTGAGGCTCCAGTATCTTTTATTGATTCACTTTTCAGATTTGTTTTTTATCATGGATTCATAGAGTTCTTAATCATTAAGGAAGGTTTCAACAGTTCATTTATCTCGTGGTCTAGAGGAGAGGAGATTTACTGTGCCTGCGCTGGGATAAAATCCATTCTGTTTATTGAATACGTTCCTTTTTTTTTTACAATTTTGTTTAGAGGTTGGATGCAGTATCAGTTAAAACGCTTTAGTCTGCAAGTAACGTAGGACCCCAAATGGTGTAGAGTAAATCTTAGGAAAGTTATTATCTCACACAATCAGGATGAATGTGGAAGATTCCTTAATTCACCAGTACAATATTATCAAGGACCCAGCCCTTTCCACTTCTCTGTCTTTAGAAATGAACATGGTGATGCATAGGGAATGGGGTCTGATTCTTCCTGCACATCATTTTTTTTTTAAATTGGTAGATTTTATTTTTTATAGCAATTTGAGGTTTACAGAAAAATCAAGCAGACAGTATAGAGAGTTCCCACTCTCCCCCGCCCCCACAGTTTCCCCTGTTATTAACATCTTGCATTAATGTGGTACATTTGTTACAGTTGATGAACCAGGTTCTGAGAACTGCATAGCGCCATGTATCCACCATTACCGTATTATACAGAACAGGTTCACTGCCCTAAATATTCCCTGTTTTCTACTTATTCATTCCTCCCTCTTTTCCCCATCCCCTGAACCCCTGGTAATCATTGATCTTTTTACTTTCTCTATAGTTTGCTGTTTCCAGAGTGTCTTATAGTTGGAATCATCAGTATGTAGCCTTTTCAGACAGTCTTCTTTCACTTGGTAATACACATGTAGGGCTCCTCCATGTCTTTGTGGCTTGATAGATCATCTCTTTGGATGGCTGAGTAATATTCCATTGTGTGGATGTACCACAGTTTGTTTTTCCATTCAACTGTTGAGAGACATCTGGTTGTTCCACCTTCTGGCAGTTCTGGATAAAGCTGCTATAAACATGTGCAGGTTTCTGTGTAAGTTTTCAACTCATTTGGGTAACACCAGGAGCATGATTGCTGGATCATATGGTAAGGCTATGCTGAGCTTTGTAAGACACTACCAAACTGTCTTCCCAAGTGGCTCGACCGTTTAAAATCATTTTTATTAATAACTTATTACTACTTAGCGTTTATTAAGCTTTTCTGCCAGTGACAAAGCTCCTCTGCAAGTTTTCCTCAAGAAAACTAGGATCGGATCTAATGCCCGTTCCTATACCAGTCACTGGCAAGGGGAAGCTGACCATGGTTATTGTCTTAAACCGGTCAGGGTTCCTCTCTGGGGATAGGTCTCGAGCTGGAGAGGAGCCGCTTTTCCTGAGCACATTGCTGAGGGCAGAGGGAACAAGGAAGAGAATACCTGCATAGAATGGGGGCTAGGCCAGCAAGCAAGAGAGAGAGCGCAAGCAAAAGGTGTTTGACAGTGGCCACTGAGACTGCCTCAGATGCTGCCTAATCCTTAGGCCTTTTCTTTCTTTCTTTCTTTTGTTCTCCCCCTAGTTCAACTTACCATTCTAAACCTGAGTGTATTGCAGAAAGTGGATTTCAGGGTTTTTAGATTTCATGCTCTCAACCATCACCCCTAACTTTCAGCCTCAGACCACAGGGACATTTTCAAACATTTAGCCAGTCCTGAGATTGGAGAATTGGAAACATATAAATGGTTAGAAATGAATAAATTAACTTAAATAATTGTCATACATTTATTATTATTGCATAGTAATAAAAACTCATCACCCACACAGAATTAGACCATTATTTGCCTGTTTCTAGTCTTGATTCTACCATTAATGAGCCGTGTGAGCCAGAACAGGTCTCCTGTCTTAAAGGGCCTCCTTTGACTATAAAATAAGGCGGTGAGACTGAATCATCTCTGGTGCCTCTTTTACTATAAAATTATATCAATCTGTGACTTGTTGCAAACATAAAAAGGATTCCTGAGTAGCAAAAATACATCAGCTCATAAAGGAGTAAGATTTGGCAACCTGTAATCTGTTTTTATCACATCCATGAAGGACTTTATTACTCTCTTTAATTGCCCCTAGCCAAGGTTAATTAAGTGTGTTTAAGTTCTCTCTTATTGTGTAATGTGTGCCTCTCTATTCTTTGCTCAAGAGTTAATTTTTTTCCCTTGCCATTTCTGATCAATAGCTGTCAGCATGCTTTGGAGAGGTCAGTGGCTTCTTTTCTGCACTTGACTGGCAGGTGGCACTTTTGAAGTACTGCACACTTTGCCTTCCTTCTGGCTGTTAGTACCCTGTTAGTTCTTGGCAGGGTGCAGAGAGAGGATCAAGTAACCCAGGGGTTGGCCTCAGACTGACATTCATTTTGGTATTCATCTTCCTTGTTAAGGAATGGATAAAGAAGGCATAATTAAGAAAATGATGGTGCTTCTACCTTGTTGCCAGAAACCTACCCCATTATCACTGTTGCTCTTTCCTTATGTTGCTGTTTACCCCTTAGTGACAGTAATTCTTTGAAGGATTTCTCCTGTCAGCTTGTTATTCTGACTTTGAAAATCTCAGGTTTGAAATGGAATTTCTTAGCACATCAAAGGATTTGCTGTTTGATACAGTCATAATTTTCCCTGTGTTTTTGTTCCTTACCTGCAAGTTTCTCTTCAGACTCTGATTTGTTTTTGTTTTTTCTGTTTTGTATTCATTGTTTTCGCTTTTAGAGACCTGTTCTATATCATGAGCCTATCCTCCCTGTTTCTAACCTCTGAAACAGTTCCTGGGTGGGTGTCAACGAACAGCTTGTACCTTGGTATTTTTAAAAGTATTTTGTGTGGTAGGTGGCAGGTCAAAAACGTGGCAGCCATTTAGAAACTATATCGTTTTGGGGGACTTTGAAGGAGAGACCATGAGTGCCTTGCTTCTAGGGTGTGGTTATTCAGCAGCATTTCCAGCATGCCGTTTGTACTAGCCTTCTAACTGGGGGAATTAGAAAGGCAGGATGTCTGCTCTGAGGAGCTAGGATTTCTGTTGTGGCAGGTGACAGTCACTGAAGGCTTTTGAGCTAGATAGTATCTTAAGAATGACTTTGTAGACACCCTTCTTACTGTGTGTATAGGGATCCTGGCAAAGGATGATTGTGTTCTGGAGGCAAAAGAAAGTTGCAACAGATCAGAGTTGTACCAGTTGAAATGGAGAATGAGCACAAGATCCAAACCTTGTTGCAGAGGAGTGTTATCCTGGAATTTTCTTCATAAATCAAGGTGTATGGCAGCTGGCCCTGGCCCTGTTGTGGAATAGCCAGAACGTCTTGGTCATGGAACGTCAGGGAGCATCACATAGCCTAGAGTAGAACTTCCAGGATACATAGCTGGGCACCACCTATTTGTTGCCACCTAACCATTTGTTTACCCTGCGTTTCATTGCAGATTCGAATCGTCCTCCCATGCCATCAGTATGAGTGCCTATTTGCGAGAGCAGAGAAGGGAGCTCTACAGTCGGAGTGGAGAACTTCAAGGTGGGTGATTGAGCTTCTCTGGAAAAACTAGTTTTCTGGAGGAAGGTCTGAAATGTTTATAGCGTGTGAGTCTGTGGTCTGCATTCACAGGGTTTTTTTTTAAGATCAAGATTTAAAGACTTGGTGATCTGTTTCTTCTATCATTTCCCAGTATCTGCTGCCAAGCAATTAAAACTATTACTATGGCCATGGGATTTATAGACCTGCTACCATTCAAGAGGGAACTCAAAGCAAAAAGAGGTGAGGTTAGTCTTTTCTTGCTTAAAGATGGCAGGAGTACCTGAGTTTTGGAAAAGGGCAAATGCAGCCTGTCATGATGTAAAGGCAAGAAGGATACCTCTAAATAGTATGTTCGAATCAACATGACTTTGATGCACAGAATATTTGATACCCATGTGTGGTTACTGAAGAGTTGTAATCTGAAGGACAAAATACTTAGAAAATAAATAAGTAAATTCAATTAAGTAAGGAAAAAAAAAAACCAAGGGTCAGCCCCATGGCCTAGTGGTTACATTGGGTGTGCTGCACTTTGGCGGCCTGGGTTCAGTTCTCAGGCACTGACATACACCACTTGTTGGTGGACATGCTGTGGTGGTGACCCACACACAAAATGGAGGAAGATTGGCACAGATGTTAGCTCAGGGCAAATCTTTCTCAAGCAAAAAGAGGAAGATTGGCAACAGGTATTAGCTAAGGGTGAATCGTCCTCAGCAAAAAAAAAAAAAAAAAAAAATCAGAGTCATTAACATTTTCTTCTGTGAAAAGAGGATGCTAATCATGGTAAATGTAATCAATTAAGAAAGATTTGTGAGGACCTGCCAAGTTAAAGACATTCTAAGCCTTGGAAAGGATGGAAGTCAGGGCAAGGAAATAAAAGATAAAGCCTCAGGTATGTAAGTAAGGCATGAATTTCAATAATAGTATCAGGAAGTAAATGCTAACAACTAAGTAGATGGTATTACTAGTGTTGTTGAGAGAAAGGAGTGATATTTAAATTATTTTAGAACTGTGGGCTTTCTCTGTGAGGGATTGATAGGAACACTTTCACTGTTTTTGAGCATTGGAGGCCTGGACTATTTTGCAGTGACTAGTCTATGCAATTAAATATTTAGTTTTCAAGATTCATCATAGTTCTACATCAAAATACTATGAAGTAACCAGCAAGTCTTTCTGAATTTAAAGACTATTGCCTAGTCATTCCTACCTTCATTATTAATCTAAATACTTGTAAGTTTTCTCAAAGATTCTGCTATGTTCTCTCATATTTATATCACAGGAATAGTACCACAGCTCATATGTATAGGTAACAGAACTAAAAGCCTAGAAATGTGTTAAAGTGTTGTTACACATTCTGGACGATGTGAAATGTATGTCTTGGAGTCCTAAAGTCCAAGAGTACGAGAATAGTTAGAATTGGGGCAAATGAAGGAGTGACCCATTCTACTGTCAGACAAGGAGTGAAGGAGGAGGGGGACTTAGGATCATACCTAATGGGCATAGCAGATTATCTGGGGCTAGAGAGATCTTCTGTACTCACAGTGCCCTAATTTTAATTTCAGAATTGGCTTAAGGAATTGTTTAAATTTACCTCCATAATTTCTCTCCATCTGGCTTCTAGTATATGAAATTCCTTTAATGGGGACAAAGTCTTTATTTCTTTCTTCCTTTTTTTTTTTTTTTTTTTTTTTTAGCTTGAATCCTAGTCATTTCTTTCTTTTATTAATTATAAACTTGTTGTTGTTGGTGGTGGTGAGGAAGATTGGCCCTGAGCTGACATCTGTGCCAATCTTCCTCTATTTTGTATGCAGGACAGGATGCCTCCATAACGTGGCTGATGAGTGGAGTAGGTCTTTGCCTGGGGTCTCAACCCATGAACCCAGGACGCCAAAACAGAGCACGTGGAACTTTAACTGCTTGGCCATGTGGCTGGCCCCAATAAACTATTTTTTAGAGCAGTTTAGTTTCACAGCAAAATTGAGTGGAAAGTACAAAGAATTCTTATGTACTCCCTGTCCCCCAACAGACACAACCTCCCCTACTATTGACATCCTCACCACAATGAAGCCTTTCATTTGACACTTAAAGATGAAAAGGTAGCCATATAATTAATAGGACAGGAGTGAAAGCTGTCACTCACTCAGATTCAATCATAATTAGTCAACATGGGTAAATGACTAGCTTCTTTCTTTTGTTTTGTTAGATAGTGAGAATTGTAAGCACTCTGTGCTCCAGCTCTGTGGAATGGTTTTCAATGAGGCCCCTCCCCACCAGTGGTCTGTGATCTCTTGAGAGAGAGTGTAGCAAAGCAATGAAGAGCAGAGGGTTCTGGGCCCAAATTCCTACATTTAAAATTTAGCTCCCCGTTTACTAGCCTCGTAACCTCTGTGCCTCTGTTTCCCTATCTCTGAATGGGATAGAATGGGGACAGAAATAATGGTACCTACTTCATGAATTGTTGTGATAGTTAGGTGAGCTAAGCTATGAATAGTGTTTAGAAAACTGCCTGACATATAGTAAATGTTATGCCTTCCTCCTTCTCAAACATTGTTATTATTGCTAGGACTGTCATGGGTGTACTGCATAACAGCGTTTCAGTCAGCGACGGACCATGCATACAATAGTGATCCCATAAGATTAGTACAGTATAGCCTAGGTGTGTAGTAGGCTGTACCATCTAGGTTAGTGTTGGTACACACTATGATGTTTGCGCAATGACAAAATCCCCTAATGATGCATTTCTCAGCACTTATCCTTGCCATTAAGCGATGCGTGGATGTACTGTCAGAGTTTTCGTATGCATTCTATTTGTCTCTTTGTCTGGCTAAATCCTACTTGGCTTTCCAACTTAAATGTTTTTTTGTAAACATTGGCACCTGAGCTAACAACTGTTGCCAATCTTCTTTTTTTCTTTTCTGCTTTTTGTCCCCAAATCCCCCCAGTACATAGTTGTATATTTTAGTTGTGGTTCCTTCTAGTTGTGGCATGTGGGACACCTCCTCAACATGGCCTGATGAGCGGTGCCATGTCCTCGCCCAGGATCCCAACCAGCGAAACCCTGGGGTGCCGCAGCAGAGCGCGTGAACTTAACACTCGGCCACGGGGCCGGCTCCTCCAACTTAAATTTAATTGCCACTTATTCTCATGAGCCCTCCCTGCTGGTCCCTCCTCTCCCCAACCTACCATACGCACACTCTGGGGCTGCGGCCCCTGCTGTATGCTCACATCTTTAGAGTTCCCTTTCTGAGCATTTTCCACACTACGTTGTGGATTATGCTCACTTGTCTGAGTCTGCCACAAAACTAAAAGCTTCATGAAGGAAATACTGTTTTATTTCCTGAGCTTAGCACAGTGCCTGGTACAGTAAATGTTCAGTAAATACTGGTGACAGAATGAATGAGGACAATTGAGGTCTAAAGTAGGATAGCTGAGCTTACCACTGAGAGGTACGATGGGCCCCCAAGGAGATGGGGCCCTGACAGCCATTATCAGCTTCATGGGTTCCCATTAGCTTTTAAGTTTAAGGAGAAGCAGAGGCTGTTCAGAGATCTGTTTTTGCTCTCTGCATTTATACATAACTTCATTAAGTAGAAATGCTGCCCTTGAGCTGTGTGGCCTAGGACAACACTGCTATATGAAATTGGAAAACATTTTAAAATCTAACTAAGTTACAGAGGAAGTTTATTCTATGAGGATGGTTAATTGAAGAATCATTATAATCTAACTAGGAACTTTCCCATCCTTCAAAAAGTTAATTGAAAAATGGAACTTTCAGACAATAGTCTATTGTACTTATGAGTATTCAGCAAAATAGGAGGATTTATCTCTGGTTACAAGGGGAGAAAGTAGTTAGCAAACATATCATGTTCATAATAATCATTAAAAAATAATTTAACTGAGCTGCCATGTCACATGCTAGATGAGAGAATAGGTCAGCTGATCATTTTTTTGTAAGAGTTTGATTTTGTTTTATTCAGGAACAAAAGTTTCTCTGATGAATGCTTTTAATATTTCGACAGGAATAAAAGGAAAAAAATCACACCTATTTTCCATTAAAAATGACCATCCTTTTTCAGTTATTCTATTAATCTGACTGGTCCAAGGACCACAGTGAGATCTGCATTTCAGCTTATCCTTGAAAAGGCATGATTGAATAGTTCAGTCAAATCATAGAGACTGGCAGAAGATTTTTGTCTCTTTTCTTAACGCCACACAGCAGGCTTCGCTTCCCAGTGGTTTGGTTCATGGGGTCAACTTTTCCTTCTGTTGCAGGGGAAATCCACCAGAAAGACCATCAAAGTAATATTAAAAAGCTCAAACTTTAGAACAGTTAAATTCCTGCCAACAAATTGCAGTTTATCATGCAATTAAAAATGTTATTCAACCTAACAACACACAAGGGGAAAAAAGAATGAAAAAATGTGATTTCTTTGGTATCATCAACCCATCTCAGTTGGCTCTAACTGTTAGGGTACAGATGGTTCATTATATAGTCTGCTGTTGGCAATTGGGCTGAGGAGGTGGGGATGCTGTTTCAAAGTGTGCAAGATAACAGGTGGAAGTCTAACTTGTGTGTGTGTCTACGTTAATCATAGACTTCCTGTTGTTTTGAGCATCTCTCCTGCTTCATTGTACTGCTTAGATAGCCGTGCCATAGGTTAGAAAGATAGTAGTTTTAATGAATGTTTAGCTTGAATGTAGCTTCTCGGTTTTAATGTGTGATTCTTCAGGAGGATAAGATAACTGATGAACATGCTATCTCACGAGGGTTAAAAAAAAATCAAAATACTGCTCATGACCAAAATAAGCTCTTAGGTTAATCAGTCCCACTGTGTCTCATTTTTCTCATTTGGCAAATAGAGCTGTTATCAGTTCTGACTACTTTAGGGAGCTGTTTTGACTATAAAAGTAGATATTAAAACTCTGGAAAACTTCAAATATAGCTATAATTGATTTATATTAAAATGATTCTTTTGTGGAATTAGGAGAACTGTGTCCACTTC